GATGGAAACTCGACCTTTACAACCGTCTACATAACTTCCGGAAAATTGCATGCGTTTATATTGACATAAAATAATTGCAGTGATAAAGAAATGTTATTTAAAAATTTCCGTAGAGCATTTTGTATTTAATACATATTTAAATTTTTAATCTAAATATATGTAATTATAAGAATGTTTAATCTTTTTTGTAATATAAGTCTAATAGACAGTAAAAATTAAATAAATAAATAAATAAAAAACAAAACTAAATAGACTTTCGGAGATTGAAGACAACATTAGTTTTGCCCACCTACATCCCCTCGATGGTTCCCAGTCATTGTTGAGCGAAGTATTCCCCCAGATTCTGATGGTGGCTTTGATAGCCCAGATGGGGAGTGTTATAGCTTGCAGATCGAGGAATGCCTGGTCTAAGCCAACTGTGGCCGAATGGTTAGATGTCTCATTACCAGATACTCCCGAGTGACCTGGAACCCATCGTAAAGCAGGCTCCTTATATTTATATTATATATAGACTTGCATTTCCGAACCAATCTAAAGTACTTACCCTGAAGGAAGCAAGTGTTTTTTTTAATCAACTTATTGAAAGACTTCTTTAAAACAAATGTAATAAGTAAATGGTTCGATTTCGATACTCTTTTTATTCAAAAAAACAATTTGTGGCTTGGAAATTTTAAAAAGTCAATGTGAAGTACAGAACGCAAGTGTATTCAAAAGAAACATACTGACTTTGAAGTGGTTGAAGCCAAATTCATCTTAAAGTTGTTGCTATTAAATGCAGAGTCGGACAGTCGACTTGCTGCTTGCACATAATTCAAACTGAACATTTGAAAGCATATTTACATGTCTGGCTGTAGCTGAGCGTGCAAAGATGTTTGCAACAATTGGTCGCAGCTAAGAATGGTCACGGCCAAATCTCATTTAATTTTAAATTTTTAATTTCGTTATTTCTTAGTTATGAAGTGCAGAGCGTAAGCGTATTCAAACGCAACATACTGACTTTGAAGTTGTTTAAGCCAAATTCTTTTTAATGTGGTTGAAAATACACACAGGAAAAGGCAATTGACTTCTTCCTAGGACATCGCTTTGTTAAATAAAAGAGTTTGTTTTTAATATTTTTATTGAGCTTTGTACCACGATTGATTATTAGAAGAAATTGAAAAAGCAACAAAGCGTTAGCGGATGAAATTATAGGAGCTATTTCGGAGATCACCACATCTCATCAGACTTCTTTTTTTTCTAGACTTAAGCAGGGATCGAACCTGCGTAACCGATGTTCAAAGTCAGAAGCGTTAACCACTGAGCTATGTACATCCCGTAAACTCTTGTTGTTAATTCATTTTCCTTATTCAACCAACTACTATCAAGTGCAGCTTTAAGAACTGACTGACGAAGTCCAGAGGTGTATCAAACAACCTCTTGACCCGTCAACCTACCGACAGGCCCTGAACGGCATTCACAGGGAATCAGTCTCAAGTTATGTAGACTCCCGCCCCGTGAATACCGTTCTAGGCACACAACCACTGGACGTGGCCGGGACAGAACTTTGTCTGCCTCGGGAGACCCGCACTACAATAGCCCAACTTCGCTCTGGCTATTGCAGCAGACTGAACTCCAACTTGAGTAGAATCAATGAGGAGAGTCGCCGCATGACTCACGGCACCTCTTCACATGCCCTGAGAACCCCACTCAGCTAACGCCCCTATGGACAGCCCTGTGGAAGTCGCACACTTCCTGGGCCTCCCCCTAGCTGAAATTGACGACAACGTTGACGGATGAACCGACCCGAACGGGGCTTAGTAGCCGCTACAACAACAACAAGTGCAGCTGATTTGCCGCATTTGCTTATTTGCTCTTATGTTCGTTGCCGGCAGTGTTGGCACTAATCGATTGATTTTTTAATGAATTAGTTAATTCGATTGAATTCAATCCGATTACAGTTAATCATGATCAAACAGCTAATCGTGGACGCGATTAAAAAAATTAATTTTTAATCATTAACCTTTAATTTGATTAAGTAGGTTTGGTGATTAATTAATTTATGCTGGAATTTTAATGTGCACACAAGGCCAGTTAATCGGGTATTGCGGGTCGGTTTTCCTCATCAATCTAAGGAATTTGGTGTGCGTTTTCATTAAAATATATTCTAACAGACGTTATGTAAACTAGGTTTTAATATCCCCCTGCACATATGCGATGGGTTGTAGAAATTCCCTGGTTATGTATTACTAATAAAAATAATGATTTTTTTTTTATATATTATGTGTTTTTATAAGCGTGAAACACAAAAGTATAACTATTACTCTTTTTTGGTTTCAAATTCGGACAAACTAGAGGACTTAATCAGAATTTATTTTTAATTGGATTAACGATTAATGATTAAAATTAATTAACCGTAATCACAACCGACAATTAACGATTAAAAAAAATTAATCAGTAATGGTACAGATGATCACGATTAATTAATTTGAATCGTTAATGGCGATTAACAATTGAATCATTAATTTTTAATCCTTAATCAGATAAACATTTTGCCAACACTATAAAGTATTTTATAATTACTTTCAAATTAATAAAATTTCCTGCAGGGTAGTTGGAGGGCTCGCTGCCATAGCAAACACGTAAACTGCTTGGTTTCCTCCAGCTATTTTCCACCACGTAGTTCATGGGTTTGAGGATTAATATACCTCAGCCTGAAAGCCCGAGCAGAAAAGTGAAGCGTATTGCCATTATCTTCGAAAAAGGCCCCAGATCCTGACCCAGAGTAAGTTCTGGAGCCATCAGTAATTGTGAGTCCTAGCTATGTGCTGGAATTTAACCTGCATTCAGCCTCAGGGAACTCTACATTATAGAATCTCTTCAACAAAGATAATGGTGGCATACTATCCGGTGGCATTGAATAGAAACAAATGTTCAAATCTCTGCCGCCAGCAATTTCCGCCCTTAAATAACAACCTCTTTAAAAATATCAATTATGGCCATTTTTTAAACACAAATTAATTTTTTTTTTTTGGAAAATACCTACATAATAAAAATCCATATTTTTAAATTTTTTAATAAACAATATTAAAAAAGCAAATATTTACGCCTGCGTCGATATTTTTTTTTAATATAAAATATTTAAAAAAGGAAAATTTGGAATAAAAAATCGCGTGATCGCCTTCGGCACTATTTAAAAAAAATTTAAGAACCTAAAAATGGGTAACCAATAACCATAATAGACATCACTGGAGCGGCAGGCACGGGTTTACCACACAGAAAGGGAATTACAGTTACTTCATCCTTTCTCAAGGCTACATCACTGGGGCGGTCACCCCAGTTGGTGCACACCAAAAGGGGTCTTATATTTGGTAAGGGTTATAATCCTAAAGCGCGACCGAAGGCCGCCTACGCAGAAAGAAATTCTACACAGAAATACTGTGGACGCAGCACCAACTTCGATAAGTGGGCGCGGGTTGGGGTCTTCACTTTTAGAATCAAAATACCGCTCCCCCCCCTAGACCCCCAATTTTTTGTTTACTTTTTTTCGGGTTGATTGCGAAATAAATCTGTGTTCATATGGAAAAGTAGCTTATGTCGAAAGGTTGGCTTTAGTATAATGCGGCATTCCTTTTATTCTTTAAACGACAAGGAATTTTTCGATGAGACTTAATAAGAATATTGACTTGCTAGTATCGGAACTATTTCTTGCGCGTTTATTTGCTAAAAGTAGTTCAACGGATCAGCGCCAGCGAGTCATTCGGAATCGTATACTGCAAATGCCGATTTATATTAAAGTCAGCCTTTCGACATAAGCTACTTTTCCATACGAACACAGAAATAAATATTTACGTAGTATACTATATGTACATATATGTAAACATATTATATATGTATATGTATAATTGCACGGAATAAATATTTCTGTCATTTTTAATCGTCGATTTTCGATAAAATGTTCACAGATATTGTGTAAATGTAGATACTTACATACATACATATGTACATAGCAATATACATATCGTGGTATAGGTACAAAACGGCGTATCTTGGTTCTGCAAAACCGCTTAACTGACATTTTTTTGCCAAAAATTGGATTTGCTCACTCACACAAGCGCTTTGCACAATCCCTACCCATTTGTCCTGAAATATATTAGCCAGAAATGCCATTGCTTTATAAAAAAGAGAACGGGTTTGCATTATTATGATACGCGGTTATGTACTTTAAACGACGATACGTATATTTAAAAATTAAACTAAATTAAATTAAAAAATTATATTTATAAATTTATGTGAAGCTAAGATGAAATATAAATAAATCGTCGTAAGTAGAATCATTAGGGGCAGACGAGACAATTTGGATATGAATTCACTTGAGTGAATCGTAAAAGGCTAGATAACAAACCAACAATTCAAGCAAAATACACAAAGCAACAGCGAATGAAAAAATCAATCAGATGGAAGTACACTTGACTATCATATCACAATGTACATATATATGTATTTCCTTCCTCTGATTTGTATTTTTATATATTTGAGACAAGTTCAGGTCAAGCTGGATTGTTGGCCACATTTGGCCAGTTGTTTGCTACTTTGTGACAGCAAAAGCAAAAATGCAATTCCTCATCAAAATGTGTCAACAATGTTCGCCGCCATATTTCTCCACTAGTTATTCGCTCACGCCGTAAGTACTCGCCAAAACATTTTTTTTTTCTTTTTCACCATCTTTCACTCGTTACTTTCTTTTCCAACTCTGTATGCAAGTGTGAAGAGGAGGCAGTTTATGACTAGTGCAAAGCCTTCTTCCAATTGCTTGCCAGCACGATATGAGCTGCGTTAAATTAGGAACCGCATATGACACTATCACAATTTGTTTTTTTTTTAACAGAAAACGAGAAACATATTTAAACTAATATCAGCCAACTATTATTCAATAATAATAAGTTATGGAATCTGTCATTCAACATAAACATAAATTATTTCAATATTTGTCATGTAAATGATTTCAGTTTATAAACGCTTACCACGATAAGGGTTCAGAATTTTTTTTTGGGACAAACTTCACGATCTGTGGAATGGTCACTTTGTATGTACTTATTGACCGACTTAAATATGTTCTGCGGCGATTGTAAGGTCTGGAAACGAAACGAAGAGGAATTGCGCGAAAACTTGTAGTCTATTTTTTTATCGTCAAACACGTCAAGCAACTGCAAATTTATGAAGATGTATTTAATCAATTTCTTCAGTTGTATTTCTAAATTCTGCCTTTTATAGTTTTTGCGGCCGCGGCTGCAGACCGTGAATTTTGTTGCTACTCGCTCTTGCAGTAGGCTTGCTGTTTTCTGCGTTTGGTTAGCCCTTTTCGCTGGTACAGAACAGAAATTTTTTCTTGGAAAAAACTAGCAAACAAAACTTTTCGACAACTGTTTTCATACACAAACACTACCGCGGGTAGTTTACCAACAAATTCCACTTATTTTCTTTATTATTTATGATTTTATTCTGCAATTTTCGAATAACTTGAATATCAACGCGCTCCCTGACGAATCACAAAATTTTACACTCGTAGCTTTCAAAATGGCGGAAAATGGTGGAGAACACGGCGATTCTTTTTAGTGCCTCTGCTTCTTCTTCCGATATAATTTAGTACAGAAATGACGCGATAGTGCATTTCGCACAAGCATCGCAAACGAGCGAGTGAAAACTGTATCGCCGCATTGACAGTTGACTCGCTAGTAGTGCCAATTTTCAGTTTTCACCAGCTCGTTGGGTATCTACAAATGTACTTTAAAGGAAAATTTTACATTTTCGCTTGCGAAAATTTTAAAACAATTACACGAACCTTTTTGTTATCATAAAGTCACAAGAAATTCCCGAAAAATATATTGAGAAAGCGCAGCGCTGACCACAGCCTGTGAACGTTGGTAACCAGCGAATTGTAGAAAACTGCGAATTATTTTAGTACACGTTGCCATGCGGCATTTTCTGTCTTCAGGGTCGCATTTGCGAACTTGGTTCAATAAAAACAAAGTACTTGAAATATTTCAAAAAAATTTAAACAGATACATATCCATGATACAAAAAAAAGGTAGCTTCACTTTGATTTTTTTGAAATAAACTGCGCTTATCACGTTTATACTTTTCGTAAATTGCTCGAGTATCACTACCACCTCAACAAATTATTGTGTATTAGCATAACTATTAATAAGTGTGTAGTAATTTAAAATACCTTAAATTACCATACCGCAACAAAATTTGGCATTATATGCAGTGTTCCATGAGATATTACTATAGATATTAGAACGTTGCTTTAATTTGGATCCTTTTTGGAGGACATATGAACAAAGGAATAGTTAAAAAGTAGCTTATCGTCAATGAAAGCACTATGAAAGCATAAACTTTGATGAAGGTAAAAAAATTTACAAATTCTTAGAGTTGCTTATTATAGTTTATAGACAGATAAACTACTCGCTCTACTGCTGCTGGTGCCAGCATTTCGCTTAGATTGGGCACATCCGTCCCGAGGCTAAAAATTTCCGCCGAAAACTGGTTGGAACAAGCAAACAACACTTTGGCGAAGCTACCATGCACGTGGCCATCCCGAGATATGCAGCTAATCGTACTAAATAATGATGAAAATGATTGCATAAACAAATAGATTATCTGTGTGCATTACGCAATGTAATAGGAGTATTTTACTTGCCTTCCGTTTTATAATTAATTTTAGAAATAAACCTCTCGCTATAAAATGATGGTCAAAATATATTCCTTGAAATATTTTTTTTAAGTAAAAAACCACTTTTTAGTTTCTTCAAAGAATATGGTAGCTGCAATTAAAAAAAAAAAATCAAAAGCATAGTTTATGTCAAATGGGAGCAATGGCGGATAAGAAGAAGTGAAACTACCTTTAAATATTTGTATCATTGCTACACTTTGTATGAATACGCCTTGGTACGACGGAATGAATGAACGTTGCCGATGTTTTTAATTTTTGTCGTCGATGTATTGTGCAGCTAATCGTCGATGTTGATATCGATGTTTATGAACAAAACATCAATGCTCACATTCCTAATTTGATATCTTTTGTCAAAAAACGAATATAAATTGTTGTCAACCTTTCTTCTCAGTGAATTCTAGTTTGACACAATTGGAGTTAATACAAAAGGAGACCAAAAATCTGCAACATAAAGTTTGGAAAATATAAATTCAATGATATAATTGTAAATAGTTAAAAGAAAGTGGAAAGTAAGCTGGTAAAAATGTCTACTGTCAGAAAAGCAACCCATTCTGGAAGCTGGTACACCAATTTAGGTAAACATTGAGTAAGACAATTTGTATTCTATCACTGGAAACTGCAGTTTTGTTTTGAAAATGACTATGTGCACTACTTATACAAGAACCAAAGATTACATAGATATAATAGACTACATAGTGCCACTGGTACGTTGGTGAGTCAGCATTGTCACATTATTTTTTATCACAGTTTCAAGCTTCCTTTAGGGATCATTAGTCTTAGATATTTGTCCAACACAAAACCGGGAAATGTTTAGCTATTCGTACAACGATTTCGCGGTGGGGGGATGAGGGAGAGGGGGCGTGGGCCCCTCCACAAAAAAAAGTAAACGAAAGAGGATGGTCCGCGCTTTATAAAAAGTTACCCCTTCCACCTCTCACTCCCACAGACCCCTTGGGAGCTGTTTGAAAATAAAAGAAATTTAGATTTTTTACAAAAGGATTATAACCCTCACTAAGTAGAATTCTCCTTTCTGTGTTGCCGAAGAAGAGGAGGAGTTCTTTTGATTTGATTCGCTAATTTATAAAAATCATACATATTGAAGTATTTGCTTAAAGTTGATATCAAATAAGTTTTATTGCAACTTAAAATGTTTATTTTTATTACTAAATAATATAAATTTATGTATTCGCGTAGTTTGTAAACGAATAAGCTTTTCTAGAAGGCATGCAAGGAAGCACTTTTCTCAGCCCTTCTTGAATAGGCCTCTTAGAATGGATTCACTTAAAAAGGCCTACCTAAATTATTTTCTGGGAGGCGTAGACTCTTTTTCTACAAGGTTTTTGATTCGGGTCACGCGTTCGGGTCCAGCAACCCAAAATCGTAGAAATAACTAAACCGTACCCCACAAAACCACAAGGGCATTAGGCAAACGTGAAATAAACCACTTCAAACATATTTCGGCATGTATATGATCAAAAAACATTTGAAGTACATATATAATATATAATAATAAACCATTAATTTTTGAGCTCTGAATCTTGGCCGGGCTGTCTAGACATCATTGTTTTGTTTATATCATCGATGCGTGCATATGATATTTCCGTAGCACGGGAAAGGCGTTTCGCCATTTCGTCAACCGAATGACGTTGTCTTTTAAGCTGCTCTAGACCGTGCTGTAGTTGTGTGCATGTTTGAAAGAACTCACTCAACTCTGGTATGTTACCGAATTCTCCAGGATGCCGTTGGAATTTTTCCCCCATTTCTACTGTCAACTTGTCCAGCGTATTATTCCTGTAATGTATTTGTAATATTTCCTTAATTTCGTCTTCTAGTGAAACAGTGCGGTCCTTTTTAGCGAGGTGCATATCTTTAATGCGAGTTTTGAGTGAACTAAAATTAATGGCTTGGAATCTTTCGCCCATCGTTAGGAAAAGCTCATAACTTTGTTGCAGATCACAACGCATATTTTGTAGATCAGTGTCGATAGCTGCACTTTGAGTTTCCTCTCTAGGAAGTTGCAATAGCTTTGTAGAGAGTAATGTCGGAAGATGTTCCTTTTTAATTTTAGTATCTGTTGTGCCTGTTAGCGGAATGTTGTCTGAAGTTGTTATTTTCTCGGAGTTATGTATGGGCTGTTCCTGTTGTTGATCTGCGTCCCCTTCAGTCTCTAAGCGTGTGCTGCATGTTGCATTCATATTTTTGGACTCCTCGCTTTAAGAAAGTTAATTGTTTTATTTAATCTGCTAAAATTTATTGATTTCGTACCCGATTTCGTTGATAATTGAGTTCATCTCTTTTCGTATAAGATCATAAAGCCCGTTTGTTGAATTATCGCCCTCAGCCATTTTTGCTATTGATAAATTTTTAAACAATTCTTAAAAAAGTTATTTTTTTTTTTATATTTTATGTATTTGTCGATAAATTGTAAGTAAAACTGTTATCTTCGGTGCCGAAAACCAAATAATGAATTAAGAAGAATATTGCTAGGCAAAGTACACAGCTGGGTTGGTTACTAAGGCACATTAAGAATTAACAAGCAAGTATAGTGCCTTAGTAAAACCTGAATTTTCTAGGTCCGGAGTTGTCACGTCAATTGGATCGCTGGCTGGTTGCTGCCGAACTTTCACACGGACCGGCACGTGCAATTATTGCGCCGTAAGTTAATAACATCTAATATTAAATGTAATTCATTTTTTTTTGGACGACTCCTAGACATGCTGGCTACACCTACTGTGGCGCTTGTGGCGCCTTCGCCTATCGACAAGTCAGTCCCGCTGTAGTGTAAGTATGGAATTGTATTGTACACATCCATACATATGTACATGCATACATACATATATAAGATAATGAAGCTTAATACCACTGTTTAATTTCTTCTTATTGTTATTTAGGAAAAGAATTTTCATATTGGGTCCGTCTCATCATGTACGTCTGCGGGGCTGTGCCTTGACTACTGCGAAGAAATACAAAACACCTCTTTATGATCTCAGGATTGATACTCAAAGTAAATAAAATGTATTTCGTAGAGATACCACACGTTAAATAAAAATAGAATTAATGCATATGTTTTATTTTCGTATACCAACTATATGAATTGATCAAAATTTGATTACGTTTTCCCACAAAATTAAGATTTTGAAACAATACTCTCTATTGTTACCCGCGCGATATGCATGTAGGTACTAGAACTGTATGCAACAGCCTCTCGCTACTACAAAAAAAAATATGCATATACATAAATCGTCGATGACTTTGCAAAACTGCCCATCGGCCACCTAAATCGCTAAAATGAGATTTGGTAATCCTGGACCCCAGGCATCGAGATTTATGCATAAAAATCGTAAAATCGTTATTAAAACAACAGATTTTTAAAATAATTGCTAGAAAAAATACCGCCTATCTGGGCAATGCCTTCAAAGAAAACCATTTTTTCGCTATCCTGTAAACTTCGAGTGTTGCAAAGGCATCGACGATATGTATATGTACATGTACATATTATTTATTTTTATTTTATTTATTTATTTCTTGACAGTCTTTTAAGACCAATAAAATCTTGTCAATTAAATTGTTAGCTTATTTAATTGCTTACTTCCCTATACATACATATTTTTAGGCTGGGATGCAAAACCTCGTATCTGCCAAATGGTATTGCATGAGGTAAACTCAGTTAGAAGACAATTCAAAATTTCTGAAAAGTAAAATGTTTTCCTCATGAAATTTTTGCAATATGTAAACTTGGTATTGCATTTGGCGGATATGAGGTATTGCAGTCCCCGCGACGACATGTATTTATGCGTAGTCTAATGAATGCATATTTTAGTCAATGCCGAATTGGAAAAGACTGGAAATTTCTCATGGATGGACATGAAAACAGATGAGGATGAACATAGTATCGAAATGCACTTGCCATATATAGCAAAAGTTATGGAAGAGTAAGTATTATTCCACTGAATGCCTTTGTATCTAAAGCTTTTAAAAATTTTAATTCAATAATTGCTTATTGTACATTGTACAGTTTCAAAGATCAGTTCACGATCGTGCCAATTTTAGTCGGTTCTTTGAATCCCGAACAGGAAGCTCTGTATGGTGGCCTTCTAGCAAACTATTTTACAGATCCACAAAACCTCTTTGTGATATCATCGGACTTTTGTCATTGGGGACACCGCTTCAACTATACGTATTACGATCGCTCATGTGGTCAAATTTACTCATCTATTGAAAAGCTTGATAAAGATGTATGTAAATAATAATCGCTTTGTTGTTTATTACAACACATATTGGCCAGGTAGTAGCATTAGAACAGCTGTTTTGATATAATTTTTAGCGAGTATTTAGGCCCTAAAAACGAAATGACAAGAAAGTCGCATCAGATATATATTTTGTTTTTAATTTAAATTTTTTTCTATACTCCACTAACCCACTCATGATTACGATAAAAATAAAAATAAAATAAAAATACTTGTATAATGTAACAAAATAATATTTTATAATTATGTTCTTCAAGTAAATATTATTTTTGCTCTAATGCTACCACATGTTCCATATGATTTGGTTTATGGGACGATTATGGATATCAACGCAACCTCAGTTGGGTTTTCAGTGAATTGCAGCTCAAATTAAGTGTTATAAATTTGAAGATAATAGAATTTGAAGTACCAGCATTTAACGCTTTAATGTAGGGGAAAGAGTTGGAAAAAAAATATTCTTTATTAATCAAAACTTCCGCAGCAACCACAAAAATGCAGTTGCGAATAAAGCAACTCAGTTCTCATTTGCCATCTGTAATACCATTTCAGCCACACACAACGCAACTGATGTTCAGTTGCCATCCGTAATCGGCCCATTATTCTTAAATACTATTTCTGGACGTATCTTTTCTTTCAGGGCATGGCCATTATTGAAACACTTAATCCCAATGCTTTTACTGAATATCTACGAAAGTACAACAATACAATTTGTGGCCGTCATCCGATTGGTGTGATGCTTAATGCTGTAAAAGTGTTGCAAAGTCAAGGTTATAGTAATATGAGCTTTAAATTTCTTAAGTATGCTCAAAGCAGTCAATGCAAGGATATGGATGATTCCAGTGTTAGCTATGCCTCCGGATCCTTAGTGTTTGAATCTTAGGGTGTTTGGAAAATTTAAAACTTTTGTGTGCAAATACGTACCCCAAATTCTGGCAGACTATTTCTGAGTTTTTTTTTAACAAGTATAAAATAATGTTAATTTGGATGGAGAAAATAACTAAATAAAAATAGACAAGTATATTTGTTGATGAATATTTTGGTCGAGTGATTAGAGGGGCGCAATATCAATCGCATAATCCAGGGTTCAATCCCTGGTCCGAGCAACATAAATTATATTTTTTTTAACAGCAGTCGCTCCTTGGCTTGCAATGGCAAACCTTCGAGTTCATTTCTCTCATGAAAAAAGCTTCCCATTAAGAATCGTTGCCGTTCGGTGGTGGCGTAACACTACTTTGTATGAAAACGTCAAGTCGCACACCACAAATCGGTGGGTAGCTCGTCCAAGTAATTGCAAATGTAGAAGTGCCAATATTTACGTAAACCTTACACCACTTAAAAGAAAATATAGTTCACACTGTAATAAAAACTATATAAAATAAGTTTCAAACTTTCTACAAAATTTTAAAGAATTCATCAAAACTTCAAAGTTTTTAATAAAATATTTTACAAAAATTTTCGGTATGCCCAAATAATTTTAGTTTAATAATAAAGCAAGTTTGAAGAAGCTCAAAATTTTGGTTGATTTTTTGCAATATTTTTCCCACACGATGTTGCTCATTTTTTCCTAAGAAAAAGGCATGTGTGCCATAGAAAACTACACAACACCGTTGGCAAAATTATTTTTTTTTTCACTTCACATTATTATACTAAAGTTAAACTACCAAACCGAAATTATCGTAAAAATTTTGTTAAAAATTATTGAAATTTTTTATAAAAATTTTATAAATTCCCTAAATTTTTTAAAATGTTTGAAACTTTTATTGATAAAGTTTTTGCTGCGACTTAAACTATGTGTAATAAATAAAATAAATATAAATTTACAAAATTCTACCTAATTAAGAAACAGGTGGTTGTAATATTCGCTTGACCTTGAGTTACAGTTACACACAGAAGTATTCGTTGTTTAGTTTGTTCACGGTATTCAAAATCTGTTATTATAAACCTTTTTTCCTTAATTTTTATTTAAATTATAGCTCGTTCTATAACAAAAACTCAATAAATCATTCATTATATGGTTTATGTTATACATTGAGGTATATTTTAAATACATATTAACGAATAAGATTTATAACGGAAGATATTTTGAATATCGTAAAAAAAACTAAACAACGAGTATTTCTGTGAGTAACTGTAAATATACATATAATTGAAACAGTTTTTATACTAGACAATTTTGTATTTAGACATTTTTACAATGGATACATAGGCTACATCGATGTGTACATTTCACTTAGAAACTACACAAAATATTAAATGTTTTCCATTCTTTTTCTTTTTAGTTAACAAGTACATATGTACATATGTTTTCATTCATTTGTTTAAGTGGTTATATATTTACTTCTTTCATATTCATTGCGCATTAAAACTACTACAACGGTATGTTTTTCTCATACTGGTGGGAATGTTGGAATGACGAGCACTGAAAGCTGTAGATCACACAGTTGGATGCTGTTATCGATAGGCCTTTTAAGCGCAGATACGATAGTGGCAAGGTTTCAGATTTTTTCTACTTGGCTTCAAGGTACATACAGATTACATATATTTAAAATATGAAAATAAAATTATTTCGGGATATGGATTGTTTTGTGTAGATATGTAGTACAGAGTAGATGAAACTATTTGCACAGACACAACGAAAAGAATAGCTAGGTATGTATACATATAGATAGTAAATAAGTTTAAATTTAAACTTCCACTTATGTATATACATAAATCTAAAATTTAAATTCATTATGTCGAGCCATAATTGCAATTTTGATCTAACCAACAAAAATATGATATTATTTTACCTGCAGAGATCGATATTTTATCTTTAAAAAATATCACAGCCGCAACGGTTTATCGTAAGGACTTTTACTCTCCTTGAACGCAAAATTTCACCAAGATACTTTAGTAAATAGTGTTCTGTATTTTAAAGATATGAAAGCTTTAAAGCGGAAAGTTTTTAATTGAATACAAAAAATTTACACCGCCATGCTTAAAGCGCAATTAACCATATTAAAATAGTTCCACTTGTTAATTCTGAATTTGTTAAAAAAAAAACCAAAGTTTAAAATTACCAATTTTGTGATTTTGGGATCAGTTTCGATGAAATTTTAAATTTCAATATCGGAATCAACGAAAGAAAATGTTTCTAATGCGCTTAGGTTAATTTTTAACTAGGCACTAAATTTTGTCGGACTGTGCCATTCGAAAATCTTAAAAATGTATTTGGGTTTAAATAATGATACAAAAATTTACCATGCGTTTAAATCAAAATTGCGGTTACAGTTCGATTGGTTCATTGATATTATTATTAAAATTTTAGATATGCGAATGCTGTTTTAGCGCATGAATCAGTAGTTATTATTAGACTGAATTAAAACAAATCTAAATATATACTTACATATGGACTCCTTCAAACCATACTATGCAAGTCTGACTAAGTCTAAGGTTACTTACCAAGCTATGGTTTGGAGGTTTCGATATGTACCTATGTATGTTTACTTTATGCGCATAAATTCAATAAACCGCACATAAAATCATACATACGTATGTATTTCTAATGTAATCTTATTTCGCTAATTTTGTTTTTAAATTTAGACACTCACACTCACAAACATGCATGGGAAAATATAAGGATTAACTTTTAAATTTAATTTGAAACATCTGCAATACCTAAATATGTATGTACGTATATAACCATAGTTAGTAAATCGATTAAGATTCCCATTTAATAGTATTCATCTCTCTTAGTATACATATATTATGCACTCATCAAATAAATTGACAGCAATCAAAAGAAACGCGTCAGACGTGGCCGTAATAACTTAAACGCTCCATATAGAGTCAAACTAATGATACCATATTTTATAGTGAACTTGCAAATGCGCGTACTTATGCTGGCCGGTGGAATTTCCATGATGGCTGGTATTTTCTGCGGGTCCACACGACCCCACATTTCAGCAATGCCATTTGCATGGCCAATACCTTAGAGTGCAAAGAAAAAATAATTTCAACTAGGGAATGTCTCGTTTGATTTATATGCAGCAGCGTGCACTCACCTACGACGCCAACAACGCGTACTGGTCGCGGCATACCGGAACCATCGATTGGCGCTTGCGGTAATGCAGCAAGTTGTAATGAATGGCAAAGAAATAGGTCTCGCTCCTTAACGAAAACATCGGAAAAAGCAGGAAATTCGCCAGCCATTTCTTGCATAAGTTTTTCAAGCAAGTCACGCTGTTTGCATTCTTCCACTTCTTCAATGCTTATGGTGTCGGTGGAAGTGAGACGCCATACCAGCTTTATAGTCTGCCACAATGATAGTGCGCGCAACGCCCGATGCAGCGTGATTCGTATAGGTCGATCTCCAAGATGCAGCATGCAGCCGGGTAGTTTGTGAATTTCTTCAAACGCACGACGAAACTCTCCACCCGGCGCCATACCCAAGTCTTTCGCTATTTGGGCGCTCATCTGCAGTAGCAGTATGAAGAAGATACCGTTGATGTAGCCATGGGTCTGTATTATGCTGCGAATCTGTATGATGATAATTGTATATAATTGATTAGAAGCCATAGTTATATAGTGGCCATAATGTAATAATACCAAATTCTGATATTTGTTGATAAAATTTATGTACATGGAAAATTGCATTACCTTGGCAATGTTGAAATTTTTCGCCTCTTCCAGCAGAGTCTTTTCATCGAGTTTCAATATATGAACGCGTGATGGACACAGTTCAACCATCACTACATCTGGACGGACATTGCGTATAACCTAAAAGTGTTTTTTATTGGAAAGCTTTTCGTATTATTTTGTTTTTCCTAACTTTACTCACATAAGAGACATCATCTTGTGACTCCTCACTGAAGTGAGCTGTGCCCACCAAATACACTCTACTGCCGAATGGCGTGTCCAGAACAGTTACCGTTGACGGCAAGTGTTTTTCAAACTCATCTATTGTATCGTATATTTGTATCTCGCGCTTAGTACCTGGTTGATCACCTTGTGCTTCCCACTCAACATTTCTATTCGGTTCACGTGTGCTATCAGGTGCTGCTTTAGATTCCGCTGCGACTGCTTCGGCTATTGCCACGTTCAGTTTTTGTTTACTAGAGTGTATCAAAGATTCAGCTTTTTTTCGACGCTTCTCTGCTGCTGCTGTAGAAGCAGCATCTCCAACTTTTGACGGTGACATCTTTTGTTTGGCGACGCCTGCACCAACAGCTTTGGTTGCTTTTGGTTGTTGAGTACTTTCATCATCCGATGAAGATTCTATTAGCACTATAGAGTTTTCCAGATCCTGCTCTTTGATTGAATTATCACTAATTTCTATAATTGACAAATTGGGATTATCCGTCTTGAATATTGTCTTATTTGCTAGTTGGGATTTCGGATCGACTTCCTCTTGTGAAGTATTAGTCTCGGTGCTTTCGGACTGTAAAAGCAGCATACTGGCACTGATGTTCGTATTCAAATCACGTGTCGCGGATGAGCTGCATGAACCGGTGGTTGTATTACTTCGATGTGAGTCGCTGCCGTTTAATGTTGAATCGGTGGAAACGTTAAGGTGTGAATTGTTATTGGCACTTTCTGAAATGCATATGTAAGAATTGCACGCTGTATAAATAAGTGCAATAGATGCAATTAGATTTTACACAGTATGAATTGAGACGGCTGGTTGTGGTTTCGCCGCACTATCACAATTCAGGAAAAACTATAAAGCTACCTCTACTCGGAATGGTTTCTGTCGACTGACAAATCGATTTTGATTGAACGACAAAAGTCGACTAGAAAATCGACCCGTGTAAAGCAGCTTAAATAAAAAATAAAATCCAAAAGATACCGTCAAATGATGCATAAGCGGTGAGATTTTCCAAGGCGCTATCATATATACCACTGCTGCCTAAGGTCGTGTCGTTGAGTTGTTCAAATGACTGGATACCACTTTTGCTCCTGGTGGTTGTGGGTGGAGATTGTGAGTCTGCTCGAGACATATCACGATTCGAAGCCGTTGATAAGTTCATGTTTTGGAAGAGTTGGTTACGTAAACAAATTCGATTTTCGGCGGATATATTTATAAATTCTTTGTTATTAGTTCGCTATCGCAGCAATATCTTGACTACCTTGTTGTAACTGTAAGGAAGAAAAGTTGGAAATAACTTCGCGAAATCAGATAAGAGCTCGTCCTTAAAGGATGTTTTTCTTTGTTTATATATTGGCATTGTTGCCTAGAGATCGTTAACATAACAGTATCTCTATATTATTTAGATATCAATCATTCCGATTTCGTAATTTGTAAACAACCTTTAACTTGCGCTGCGACTTTTTTGATTAAAAAGGATTGTTTGAATCTTTACCTTTTTAAAACAAATAATTTTAGATTTCTGCAATGTAAAAAATGCATTTACGGGTGTATGCAAACATATTCAATCCTTTCTAAGCAGATTTACTTAATTCTAAGCTTAATAACTTATACTTACACAAAATCGGTGATATGGAATGCGTCCTTCACTAATAATCTCTTCTTATTCGCTTTGTTTACGCGGATAACAAAATAGAAATTATAATGCAAAAATTTTCAAAAAACCAAAAACTAATTGAAAATTTATTTTCTCGTCTTTGCACTTGTTTCTGCTGCTTCCTTTCCTTTATTTTCAGTTTCCTTTTTGACGTTTGCGTTATATCCCACGTACACAATTTTTTGACATATGCACACCATTTTCAAAACGAGCACAACTCGAAAGTTACTCAAAGTTGCAGAAAATGCGAAACACTATTTCGTAGCACATGCGAATCATAAGGACAAGGGAGACTCTACCATAGATTTCTATTAACAAATTTTGCTGAAAGGTAAATAAAAGCTCTGTGTAAATTTATAGCGCATAATTTCAAAACTGCGAAATTTTCAGTTGTGCTATTTTTGAAGACGGCGTGCCATATGTTGATTGTTTACATTAGCCGTGAACAGCGATGGCACTTTAAAACGGTTTAGTAAATTTGCTACCATTTTTCCAAAATTTAAAAATTTTCCACCACAGTACGTTTTACCTAGTTTTACTTAGCTTTTAACATAAATGCAAAATACGTACAATTCTCAAATTTAATAAATTAATGTATATGTATCAAGATCATTGAGGTGAGCGTAGCGGTATATTTTTTTTTTGGAAAAGCCATAAGAGTTATTGACGGTAAAAGCTCAAATTAAGCATGTTTTGAAATCTAAATTTTTAAAAACCCTTTCATGGATGATATCATTCGATAAAGAATTTATTTCCTTTTAATTTGATGTTCTGAAAATATATGAAAGTCCTGGAACTATATAGGAAATTTATCAAGCTTTCATTTGATATACAGTATGCAGTCAATTTTCCTCACTTTACATAGAAAGGAGAATTCAACTTAATAAGGGTTATAATACCAAGCACTTACAGCAAAAACAATGCTAAAAGTTAGCGAGATTTTATAGCAGTTTGAAACTTCCACTTTATTATACTAGAATTAAATAGCCTACAAAATTGCATACCAAAATTCCGATTAAAAAGTTTGAAATTTTAGTGAAAATAAGTAGAACTTTTCTAATTTTTGTACAAAGTTTAAAATCTGAATTTATAAAAACATAATAAAAATTAATGATGAAATTTTATGTTCCTAAATATTTCTTGCTTAGCACCATATAAAAAAGGGTTTTATGTAATCTAAAAGTTGCAAAAGATTGCACCTACTATCGATATTTTCAGATGCTATCGAGAGCCACTATCGATAGTATCGATATATCGAAATTTTAAAATTAACAGGGCTCGAATTGTCACATCCGTTCACGGATGAAATGGTACGTTCACGAATGTCATGATCCGAAAAAGGTATTTTTACGTGCCGAATAGAATGATACAAAAAATAAGGTAGTTTCATTACTACTGTTTTTTGATTATAAGGCAGATTTTTGACTTTTCTCCAGATGTGTTTAAGCATGGCTTTGCCACACTGAAATTTTTTGAGAGGGGGATTTTCTTTTAAATATACTTCAACATACATATTTTATACGTAAACACACTAAGCTCACACATATAAATAACCAAAAATACTTTCAAATTGATTAGAATCCACTTAAACAAGTAATTAAATACTTTTCAACGTAAATTAGCAGAGTGCAGTTTTCTTTTGTTTACAATTTGGTTGCCTAACACACTACAGCTGATCGTTTGACACATTTACCAGAACTTGCCAGCAAAAAATCTTCGGACTAAAACTGGTAACTTCTGACAGAGAGAGGACCTTATTTACTCTCTTTTTTGTCCTCTCAATAGTCAGAGAACCGAGTACGGGATCGATTTCAAGTAAAATCTGACTGATTCTCGCAACTATTTTTTGCCTCCTTCCAATTTTAATTCACTTTTTTTACTTTTTAGATTATTCCCACTTTTTGCGTATTCTTTAATTTAAATTCAGATGAGTTTGACACTTTTCAAGATTTTGTCAGCAAAAATTCTTCTGACTAAGGGCCGGTTACTCAATGTCTGGTTAACACTAATCTGCGGTTAAACATCGTTATCGACGTTACCGACTCCCTGTTGTATGCATGGAGTCGAAGACGTCGATAACGATGTTTAACCGCAGATTAGTGTTAACCAGACATTGAGTAACCGGCCCTAAATCTGACTATTTCCGACTGATGAGAGTCACTCTCACTGAGTGTTGCTCTCTCATTTTTGCTGCCATTTCCGAGTTAAGGAACGCTTTTTGGACTAAATCTGACTACTTCGGACTTTTTCTGACTATTTCTGGGGGATAAGAAACGCTCCTATTATTGCATCAGCACTGACCATCAGGTGACCGGCCATTTGCCAGTAAGATTTCTTGTAGGGCACCCTTAATGCATTTATTTGGTATGGCAGTAATTAGGCTGGTGTTATGCAGAAATTTTGTTTGCGGCAACAAAAATCGCCGTGTGTAAATGAGCACTAAGAAACAAAACGAAAAAACAAAAAAATGTCGATAGTATCGATAGTTGCGAAAAACTATCGATGGTTCATCGTAGTTCCAGACTAACAATACTATCGGTAGTCCCATCGATAGTTTTCCAGCTCTGCTTTATCGCACGTGAAAACACCTAACTCACTATTTTTGATAAGAACAAAGTGAAAGTGAAATGGAAACAATAAGCATTAAAGAACGTTTTCTTGAAGATAATACGGACTTCAAAGAAATCAAGCCTACCCAAGAGTTGACCACAATCGGTGGATTCCCAGGCATCGATGAGGTGGAAGATGAAGTTTGGTTTCTGCAATGCCCGAAAGGATTTGATGTTGAATCAGAATTGCAAGGCCAAAAATTTAAAATTCCTGGTCGTACAAATTTCAATTCGTGTGAAGCTGTAGCAGTGGAATATGCTGAGCCCGAGACGCGTGCATTTGGTTATTGCAATCGTAAAGGTCGCTATTCGCTACGTTTATTGCCAGTAAAGGGCAACATACTGCTGCGCGGACGTCTGAAGGCAACAGAAGCAGTAACATTGGAAAATGCTGAGGCTATGTGCCCGCCGCAGGGTCGAGTACCATTTCCGGAAATGATCAAGGTCCGCCATCCTCTGCATGGTCATCAATTCGACAAAAGCATACGTGTTAACAAGGCTATCGCGGAACGACTGAAGAAGGCAGATGAAATATCGGCGAAAGTACTATATGATGCTATTAAAAATAGGAATATTATAAAAAAAGTAAATTCTGGTTTGTCCAAAAGGAAACAAAGACCAAAGGCGTTTACAACGAATGAGCAAAATGCAATTCAAATTGATAGCACTGACGAGGATGTAGTGTTTGAACGTGAGGAAAAAACAAAGAAAGGAAAAAAAGTCCGGAAGAACTCCGAAAGCATCGTTACGGGTGAGGAAGAGGGCTTGAAATCCACAAATGAAGTCGCTAAGAAACAGAAAAAATCACACAAAACTAGCATAGGCGAAGTTTCAAAAGATTTGCAATGGCTTCAAAATATATAGCTATAATAAAGTCTGTGCAAAAATAAGATCTTTTATATAAATATTTAATTACATAAAAAATAAGGAGTGTCTATTTACACACGCCACGGTAACTTTTACTGTTATAATCCCTAAGCGCGGCCAAAGGCCGCCTACGCAGAAAGACGTTTCGGTTCACTTCTCGGCAACATGTAGAGGAGAATTCTGCGAAGTAAGGGTTATAATCCCTAAGCGCGGCCGAAGGCCCCCTACACAGAAAGAAGTTCCGCCCCACCTTTCTGGCAACAGAGAAAGGAGAATTCTGCGTATTAAGGGTATTAAGCGCGTTATAATCCCTAAGCGCGTTCAAAGGCCGCCTACGCAGAAAGGATTTCCGCCCCATTTCCCCTTTACCACTATAGTCGGAGGTCTTTAAATTAAAGTTTGCTCAAAAAAATAGGTAACCTCGGATCCATTGTAATTTTCTTCGTAGATCCACTGTTATCACTGAGACAAAATATTTATAAGTCTTCAAAGTCTTTTTCATAATCAGGCAGGTTCTGCAATTCACTTCCGAGTGAATTTCAATCAAACTCGCTTTGTATTCAAATTGGCCGGCGTTGAAATTCAGTAGGAAGTGAATTGCAGAACCTGCCCGAATAATCATGAGTTTGGGACCTGTTCGGGACTATATACAAAATTTTTTCGCTCATAATTATTATCAAAAGGTTTTTTAATATAAGTCTCTAAATTAGGGCTGATGATTTCACCCGGGTAATGAGCTACCCGGGTACCCGGGTAGCGGGTGAAGCCCTACCCGGGTATTGAATTACCCGGGTAGCCCGGGTACCCGGGTATTTTATAACCCGGGTAGACCGGGTACCCGGGCAGTATGGTAATTACCCGGGTACCCGGGCACCCGAAAAAATGTGGAGAGGTGAAAATTAAACGCATTTACGATCATATAACGCAAACGAACGTATGTACATAGGGAAAATCTATAAGAATCTTCCGTACCATATGGGGAAATATTATAATATACAACACATACATTGCACTTGACAAATCCGTCATTCATTACACAAGCGTACTTCCAAACCCAGCTTGTTTTAGGCATGTCTAAAATATTAATATTTACGAAGTTGGTAATGCACGTACAGATATCGGATCGGTAACAAATAAAATTATTGAGACACACCCACCTGCGAATCTAAACGATGACCGACAGTTGAGGCAATTTTTGTGTTGGAATGAAAAAAATTTTAAAATTTCTTCCACAATTATTTCACAACAATACGTTCATCAACCTACTTCTCGTATTAAGGAAACTTCATTAAATAATTGTGATTTTAAAAGCTTTAAATATTATGAGAAAAGAAACTATAATTTGAACAAGCTGATACAATAAAAGTACAAAATCTTTAGGTGAATGAATAGCATAAGGCTTTGTTACCTTACTTTTTGTACCAGAAGTGGCCTACCACAGGGTTTAGTTCTTATATAATTCCCAATGAGAACGTTCTCGTCAGTTTTGTTCTCATTTTGGTTTTGGTTTTGACGCGTTCTTGGGAACAAAACTACGACAATGGCATTTAGTTTCGATCATACATTTCGTTCTCAGTCCCTGTTTTAAAATATTAATATTTAATATTCTTTAAAATATACATACATACATACATATGTACACATGCATGTATGTATATGCATTTACAAAAATTAGAAGTTTGAATTTAAGTACAGAAACTAATGTTTTAATTTACTTTTCTTGTCTCCGTCTACTCAGGCAAGCGGTTAGGTGTACATAGTCGCGTACACTCTAGACATAAAAAAATAATTATAAAAAAAAATTTTCTCACTGAAAAAATATTTATCCTCACTAAAAAGATTATACAAGAAGCTTTATGTCGCATTACCCGGGTGTTTTT